TCGTCAAGTATTTCATGAATTTAAAGGGAAAAGAAAAGTTAATTGCATAATCCACTACTACTGATAAGGTCATAGATGCATTTGTGAACATAATGTATGGTACCGATAGTTCGTACGAGTATTGAGATGAATATGATATCGTTTTATTTATATCATGATAGTATATTGCATATATAATATATTACGAAAAGTCATTTTAATATATTAGAAGACTTTTCAAATAAAAATTATATTTACCGTACTGAGTAAGGAACGACAGATTTGGTTTTTTATCATTGTATGAACGAACGCAATATGTCCATAAAACAGTCAAGCAGGTGCCGGTACCAGTCAGCGATTTCACGCTATAAAATGTTTATACTTGCTACTGTTTCAATAAGATTCTTTCAGAAGTAACTTAAGAAGTGTATACCAGCATGGAAGTGAAATTCTAATAGCAAATTATACGTCTGATTATAATTTAATCAATAAAGCTCTAGCAGTCAATGCTATCGAGATCTGTCCCTTCTCGACTTTGCTTCTGCTAAGGCTAAAGTATAATACGTGACACTGTCCATAAATCAGCAAGTAGATACAAATTTTAAGGTGGAGTTAACTGTTCTATAATAAAAATCAGCGGAAAGTCCTTTTAATTTAAAAATAGACACGTAATGCATAATTAAATAGCAGCTGTGAGGAGCGTAAATAAATGCATATGTTACTTATGGTGTCTAAATTTATAGTATATTACTTGTATGATGATAAAAACGGCAAAGATTTGCGAAAAGTATTCTGTGTTCATGGCGGAATAAATTGCTTAGTTCTCGAGTGCATACTGTACTTGTGTTCAAGCCTAACATAATTTAGCATCAATTAAGTTGTTAAGATCTTAAAGTCATAAATGTATTGCAATACTTGATAGGCTTAATAAACGCTGCATTACTGTATGCCCAAATTTGCCCCTATAGCTTTATAACTGATATAATAAAGCAGATATGATAGTTAATAGGGCCATCTGTTGACTGTGATTGCACTTTGTATTTGAAATATCAGTGCATTTATTTTAATTCTCATAGTATCAATTTCTGTGCTACATATTTATAATATTTATACGAGGAATCTTCTCATTTTGCAAACGTTATAAATCTATTCGATCTATAGATTTGTTTAAATTTGTGTTATTTTTTTTATTTTACGTTAATAATTTGCAATTTTATAAAATTCAAAAGTACGTACGAGTAATTGAGAATAGGCAATAATTTTGCACTGTAGACTATGGGATAAATCGAATAATTCCTTCGTTATGTGAGCCTTTCAGGTGTACCAAATATGAAACGCAAATTAAATAGGATTATTTATATGACTGTCCAGATAACATTTAATTGCACAATTACGCCTATTTCCTTTTATTACTTAAATTGCGAAAAGTACTGCATGATTAAATACAACGATAACTTTAACCTATTGATATACGCGTCTAGTCTAGAAAGGTCATTCGAAAGCATTATTTCGATACACTGTGTTAATGTGCTGGAAATGTAAATACTTTCTATTTAAGGTGCAATCTGATATACTGTAGTTCCTATAGTCAGTATTAACACTTAACTAGTAAAATACGCTAGTGTTGATTAATTTTATTTTATAGTCTATCGCATATATTAGTAAATAAGCATACAATGTAAGACCAACGGCGATAGAATTTTCTTTCGCTTATTGACTAGTAATTTTTACCTGTTAGATGACACCTAAATCTGAGATATTAGTATAATTGTTCTTATTGGTTGAATACCAGTTCGAACAGCAGCTTTATATTTACAGCTTGCGCGATCAACTATCTGGAGCTCTTGTCAATAAAATCTAGTCCATCAATTAACGTAGTTCAAGCTAGTCTAGTTCAATCATAATTAGACGATAATATTAACAGACGACTAAATGATCATGCCATAAATCTAAAAGTCTGCTGTCAATATAAATAAACACATACGAAATCTTTAAATATTTTACAATGAACTCCGCCTTTTACAAAGTTTAAGACTGCTATTGAAAAATTTTAACTATTAAAGTCCACTACAGTTAATACTAACTCAATATACATCTTTATCTTAAATAATCATGTATTGGATATTTGGGTAACTTTAACAGTTTATTTTAAATATTACTGGAGGGGCGATATGCAACCTATACGATACGACTGCTAGTATCGAAATTTAAGAGGTACCATATCTAGACTATTTAATTCGCACAAATCCTGAAAGTGGAGGTGGAGTACATGTAATATTTGCGTATGTAACTTTTAATAGCTTTAAAGTTCAATATCAGATACGAGTATATCTAATATCATGAACTTGTAACCTATTGCATGCACGTACAACTACGTAGGTAGTTGTAGCTAGAGTGCTTCCTTGAATCAGCCCATTTTTTTTTTATCTTCCACTTTAGTTAAATACGAGCATATATTTACTGAGAAGCCCATTGCTTTCATGAGCAGTTTGGCCATATGGTACTATCTTTTTTTATTCTCTTGATGATTAGGTAATATACTTATTTGAGAAAAGAAAGGGAGTGGATTATCATTATAATAAGATAGATTATCATTCTTGATATGGTAGCATCCAAATTGCAATTCGATATTGCAGTAATTATTGACACACTAGATACTCGTACGGATAATTACTTGGTAGGTATTTACCAATTTTAATCTGTATGTATCCACATAATGTCATTAAAGGTACAGATTTGGTATACATTTATAATTTGTACCTATTTAAATCTGCTTAAAGTAGATAAATTGGGGTCAAATAGATCAAATCGAATTCTAATTTAAAAGGCTGTTAATCCTTCCAATGAATAGACTGGCATATGTGATCGGTGTCGATTTTGGTTCTTTATTATGATACACAATCACTAGCTTGCTGATTTCTAAACTGAGAGCATTTTATAAGAGGTAAAAAAAGGAAAGCGTTGATTGCATCTCGTGGACGCGTACTCAAATCATTTTCTTCTAACAAGCACATTGTAGCTTGGCTTACTTTCTATCTGTGGGAAAGTTGAAAGAAGCATTAAGATTGAATCATTACCGGTAACAAGGGGGCTGTAACTATTTTGTTACAATGTAGAACTTCATTGTCGAAGACTGGTATATAATTCATGATAGCTATTTGCATTTTGCACCATCGTATGACAATGTCTATTGAGCCATTCAGCGAACTTGCGATAAGTGCAATTCCATCTGAGCCTCAATTACCTGCTCTGCATTCCACAATATAAATATGGACTCTTGCAAATGGTATCCATTCGTATTTGTTGTATTTATACAGTATACAGTAAGTTAAACGTGTACCAATCTCGATGTCCTGTCGATTGTACTGCAGAGGTAGGCGAATTCTTTTACTGTAGGTTAAAGTCCCTGTCCTTATTTCAGGACTTTACCATAAATAAGAGGACACACCTCAATTGGATGTCTATAGTCCAAGAAAGACATGAGATGTTAATTGTATGCCCGTATGCGGTTAAGAAAGGTCTAAATTGACCAAGTTAATCTTCAATCGTGATGTAATTAAGAAACTACGGGTAAAATGAATCATTCTTAGTCCATATGATAGCCATATCCAAATTAGTCATTTAATTTTTCCTTGCATAAGGTAAATGCCCATTTTGGTTGATAATTCATTATTATTGATTTATTTGATTTGTTTATTTATTTTCATTTATGGACCGACTTTAAATATGACACTTTCCGTAGCGGGGTAAATTACTACCTAAATAATTGTGATTTATTACGCCAGTGCCTTTCACCGTTGAATCGGCGATTGAGGTTGACTGGGACAGTACGGGCGTGCAAAGTGTTCTCAGTATCAAGGTTGACATGAATGTTGACATTGCTATGCTAATGTATGAATGGCATGCCATCAGTCAGTCGAATCATTGTTTCTTTTTGAATTTAGTTCATTTTCTGACATTGAAATATATTGGTAAGTAAACTGTTGGCCGTTTGGGGCTTGATAGGAGGTATGATTTAGACAGATGGCCTAACCTTATGGACAGTATCAGTACTGCTCTATCCAGTCGGCGTCCAAAATGCAAATCAATCCATCAACAATCTATTACGCCGCCATCCTGTACTTTACACTCTACAGTATAGCAGAGAACAGGATGTTGACTAATGCTGCTGGCATTTTAGATCGATTGCATTGCCTATTTGCACTAGGGGAGCTGGGTTGTTCAACTTGTGCTTTGACGGATAGAAAGGTTAGACACTTGCTTGCAATGTCTTTCCAGAGGATAGCACTCGTAGGATTGTGTTTTGATCGAGTACTGGGCCGGTCCATTGTAGAGTAAAGTCAAACTTGCACCTTTTCTTGCCCCAAAAAAAGGTCGACAACTGTGCCCCCCCCCCCCGCATAAACCGGATTGGGGACTTGTCAGGTTAACTTCCCGCTGGAGTTAAGGGTACAGTACGTACTGTACCGTACAGTACAGTGTATTCTGTGCAATTTCCACGGGTTTGGCTAGTGAACAGTACAGTACAGTACTGTACCATGTACAGTACAGTACTGTACCATGTACAGTACATTGTGCACGGTACTGTAGATCCTGTACCGTACCGTGCCGTACCGTGCGTGGATGAAGTTGACGGCAGATGCAGTCACAAGGAAAACTTTCCTACCCGACCGTACGCCAAGTGTCAATCACTTACGCTCGCCTTGAATACAGTAAGGTACGTTTTAATGGATTGAACAAAAGCATCGATTACTAAACCGATTGCTGAATGGCTAATGAGCACGTGTATGTACACAAGCATAGTATACACAGTAACTTGGTGATGATTGGATAACAGGCTCTTGCCGGCAGACATCACCATGTATAAAAAGAATGCAAAACCAGGTTGAGTCCATTCGACACTTTTTTGATGCGCGGTATTTTTCTACCTGCTGCTGTAAGCTGAAGATTGCTGACTCCTTTTTTTGAGGGCTTGCTCAACTTTTCTCATCTCCGAACGTTGAAATTGATAATCGATACAAATGTTGCTAGAAGGCGCGGAAGTCGATGGTAAGAAGGCAAAAAATGGAACTGAAGTCAAATTAGACGTAGCCGAGACGGATATCGTCCTCAAAGTAAGTTTTCTAACAATCAATCAATCAATCTGTGTTGAATCGACGAGCACAAGGTCGACTTGTACCGACCCATTGATGCCTCGACCAATGACGATACAAACGTCTCCAATCAATCATCTGTACTGTAGTTTAGTACTGTACACTGTACAGTATGGACTGTTGAGGTCAAGCGTACAGTAGTTTCCAACGTTTACACAGTGCCGCTACTGAACAAGACGCATGTTCTCCATGGAAACTTGTCTTGTACAAAGCATTTGCAATGGAAGTAGCAAACTCTCACTCTCTTTCTCTCTTTAGGGACCATGTCGTGATGATAGATAGATATATTGACCATCGCAGCGTGCAATATTATTTTTACACTATCTAGTCTATTTTGTAGTGTGCTACCATTGGTTTGTCAGTTGGCAAGTGTGCTCTACTCAATCAATAAATAATTCATGATTGACAGTAATTCATGAATATGGAAGACTGGTATTTAGTACAGATGAAAGTGGATACTTTCTGAAATTATGAAACTACTGCTACTGCTGCTAGTTAGGAATGGCATGATTTAAATATCCAATAGCATTGCTTGACCTTGTTGATCTGGATGTGTGTTAAATAACCTCCCTGTATGCACGTTACCATCAACCCTAATATAGTTGGATCATGGGGAGGTGAAACGCTATTCATGCTTGTAGAGTGGCGTTTCGTTGGCCATCAAGGAGCATAAGACTATGCCACCATGATGACACCGCGTCTTTCAGTAGTGTTTGAATTTGAAAATGATACATACGATATGGCCAGAACATGACCTGGCTTCGATTTTCTGACCTATATAAATTGTTTGTATTCTGAATAGACCAATGATAACAATAGAAACTTGATCAAAAATGACGAAAAGGAAGAAAAAGAATACGATCCATGGCAAGCACCTGAATTAGTTGACAACTCTCCAGCATGGGCAGGTATGCTAACGTTAGCAATCGACAGTATTGTAAAGTATTACTGAAATATTTTCAATTGAAAAATTGTTTTTGACAACCGTACGCCTATTAATGAATTATTGATTGGCGGCACATAAAGTAAGACGCTTGCTCAAAACCCTTGCTAACCAGTCAATACTGATATCGGTGCATGTTTTTAATCCTTTTAAATAGAACTCAACGGCAAGGAGAAACTGCAAAGAGTTGGATACCTCTTGTTACGATTTGTTGTGATCCTTGGCAGTCTCTACCTGTTCATTTGCTCGCTTAGCTTGCTGTCTGATGCTTTCAGACTGCTAGGTGGTAAAGCAGCTGGGGAAGCGTTAGATGAAGAAGGAATTGTTGCCAATCCCATTGCTGGTCTCATGCTTGGTGTACTCGTAACCGTCTTGGTGCAAAGTTCTTCAACATCTACCTCTATTATTGTTACCATGGTCGGCGCTGACAGTAAGTTTTGATAGTTTATATTTTTACCAAATATTATTAGTGATGAAGATGATAGGCGATGTCGCAATAGCAATAGTAATCTAATAATGTGTATCTTCACAATTAGTTTTGACTGTGCAACATGCTGTCCCTATTATCATGGGTGCCAACATCGGTACATCTGTTACCAATACAATAGTATCGTTTGCTCAATCACCAAACCGTGATGAATTTCGCCGTGCTTTTGGCGGTGCCACCGTCCATGACATGTTTAATTGGTTAAGTGTCATTGTGCTATTGCCTATTGAAATAATTACCCATTACCTATATTGGTTATCACATGCTTTGACAGGAAATATTAAAGGAGACAGTTCCGCTAACCAGGACTTACTAAAAGCTCTTACTAGCCCCTTTACTAATCTCATCATTCAACTCGATAAAAAAGTAATTACAAACATTGCACTAGGAAAGGAAGAATATCTTAATAAAAGCTTAATAAAGGCGAGCTGTGGTTCTACTATAAACATTGTTCCAACAAATATGTCTGTGATACAAAACGTAACTGACCCTAGTACCGGAGCAATCACCTTGGATACGACTTATGAAATAGTCAATATTAGCAACATTGACAAAAAACCATGTCATTTTCTTTTTGCCAATACTGGAATGAGTGATCCTGTTGTTGGAATTATTTTGTTGTTTATGTCGATTGTTGTATTATGTGGTTGCCTCATTATGCTTGTAAAATGTTTACAAGCCTTATTGAAAGGACATGTAGCCAAAATTATCAAGAGGACCATTAATTCTGATTTCCCCGGTAGATGGAGTGTTTTGACTGGCTATGTGTTCATGTTAGTAGGTGCAGGTGTCACTATCATTGTTCAATCGTCGTCAGTATTCACGTCGACGTTAACTCCTCTGGTAGGTATTGGAGTTATAGAATTGGAAAGAATGTATCCATTGACATTGGGATCAAATATCGGTACAACGACAACTGGTATCCTTGCAGCTTTGGCTAGTAAAGTCGGCCTTCATAATGCCATGCAAATTGCTATTTGCCATCTCTTTTTTAACATCTCTGGAATTCTGGTATGGTATCCGATACCTTTCATGAGAAAGATTCCGGTAAAGATGGCAAGGTTTATGGGTAATACTACCGCCAAATATCGTTGGTTTGCCGTAGCTTACCTAATTTTCGCCTTCTTTATCATCCCTGGTACTATTCTTGGATTATCTTTAGCTGGCTGGTATGTGCTGTTGGCTGTCGGTGGCCCAGTGGTGCTCCTATTAATAGCAATATTAATCATAAATGTTCTACAACAGCGAAGGCCAAAAGTCCTTCCAAAAAAACTACGCACATGGGAATGGGCACCGATTTGGCTAAAATCGCTGGAGCCTTACGATAAATTGCTTGGTCGTCTTTGCTTCTGCTGTAAATATCGATCTGGCAAGCCTGAGCCTGAAACAAACTGTTAATACTTTTTATTCATTTTGCATAATATATTTTAGTCGCACATTACAGTGTTGGAAAAATTCCAGACGCATTGATATATAGAATTTATCATCATATAGACGAAAACACTAATCTAGATTGACAATAAACTCTATTGATTGTGAGTTATTTGCAAGATACCAGAGTAATAGAAAAGATTGCTTTGGTAAATTTGTTGATGGTTTACAAATACAATTTTGCAAGGACGCGAAATGACATTTAAGCATTGTCCGACTTTGTTAAGATTAATTAAAAATAAGACAGATATTGATTATTGAGTATATAGGCATTTATTATTGCTTGGCGATGGTATGTAACGTATGTTGTTGATTCTCTTTACGACAATATTGCTTCTATATTTTTAAATATGTATTTTGTTGCAACAAAAAAAAATGCAACCTGGTACGTATGACTTGCTCTAATGACAATTTATTGCCAAAATGATAAAAAAAGTAAATTGAAAACTTAAAACTGAGAAGTCTTTTGATTTCGATGCGACTACAGCGTGAACTCGGAAAGAGTTCTGACGCCTCAGTTTTCTACATCAACTATGTCATAGTGTATACTGTAAATACATTAAGGGTGCACTATCGGCCTTGAGCCACGAAAAGCCTAGAGGGTGTATCCATAATCTAATTTATTTAAGACAGACAACAGGCCTACAATGCTACAGGTTGGTTTGTAGGCCTCCATTGATTGTACAGTTACATGACTTTTTACTGGATAAGTTGTTTCCAGTTTTGCTACGAATTTTTATCTTACTACTCTTCTAATCTACGAACTACGACGCTTGATGCGAATGCTATAGGCTGGTAACTATAGTTCGACATCACAGCGCTCAACTTTATTTATACCATTTCTTTTTATAAAATATTTCTTTTCATAATTTATCCTAAAATATTCTTCATAATGTACAATGTCTCCATTCCTCTATAGAAGGATTGATATCGTATGATGAAATAAATTGTTTGTAAAAATTGTAATATGCGTCTAATCTTTGTTTGTTTTTAATTAATACGTTATCGTAGACCGCGAAATCTTTGCGCGCCAACAACTAGAAATGGCGTTAGCAACCAGTAACCATTGTATATGTATGGGTAATTCTCTATGACGTTTAGTTCAAAGTTAGAGTAGAAGTAGACCAAGAACTAAAGTACTGTAAGTACTAGTCTACTACTAGATCCTCGTTAAGTTGGGCGGAGTCCCTCAAGCCAACTTTTCAGTGTCATGGGTTGCAAAGTTCACGATTCTCTCTCTATTGGACGAAAAATTTTGCCCAATTGCAAATTCTAGCGGAATTATTTGCCCGTCACTATGGACTACTAAAAGCTAGCTGTAAGAATTAGTCCATGACGAAACGCACAAAACCAAACAACCAGTTCTAGTCCTAAATAGTCCTAAACATAGTACACAGGACGACCATAGTGGCTAGCACCTCTAGACCACCATTAAGGGGCGTGGCGAGCCCTCTTCAACTGGCTGAAAGATGTTCAGCTATAGTGTTGCCTTAAATTATGTTTTTCAATTGTGAAGAAATGGCCTCTAAATTTGGCTCCAATTCCATGCAGACAGATCAGTACAACCTAGAGCAATTGGCCCTTGATATTTTGATTCCTTTTTATCGCGGTAATGAAGAATTCTATTGCTTTCAAGTTTCCGATACAAACTATTAGTCGGTGTTCCATGTACGATCGCTCCAATTAGCTCCAAGCCTTTTACAAGTCAAGCCTTAACACCGCTCTATAGTAGTGTCTCGTTTCAGATATCCGTTTCACTTGAAAAGATTAGCAAATTAGTTTGCCCCCCCCCCGTATTTATACTACCGTGAACTCTCGGTCTATAAAGTGATATAAATTTGAGGTGGTTTTCCTGACTACTTTCAAAATTGAAATTGAAATCGTTCTAAGCCCATTCAAATCTTTGCGATCCCGCCATATGGGTCCACCTAGGACAGTGTACAGTACAGTACACCCAGCGCCCATACTGTACACTGTACCGTACAGTACTGTACACTGTACCGTACAGTACTGTACACTGTACCGTACAGTACCGTGCTTCTCTCGCATTGAAGCACAGACAAGCGGAATCCTGGACATGTGAATGTAATATCAATGTTCAAATCGATCACTCCAGCCATCTTGACGATTTTTGCTACGGACAAGAATAACATCGAACACAACTTTGAATGTTAATTCAATCAGTAGGTTATATTCATGATTAGAAACTGGTATTATTATTGCTATAGCTAATTTTGGCAATAATTCAAGTCCATCACTTTAGTTTTGCATTGTCATCGAGAGAAGTATTGAACGTGCAATGAATAGCTATCAAGAGCAAATTGAATTTATGGCAGCAAATCCTCCACCGGATAATATCCATGAAATCCAACTGACCGTTCATCAATTCCTGTCTCAACATATCGATCATCGTGATCATCGCATTGCTTTTATAACGGTAAGTCTAGAACAATGATAATAGAATGCTTGTAATGCAAAAGAAAAAAAATGAATTGGAGGCAGCACAGCTGATGTACCAAGTGGCTGCTTCATTTGAAATGCCTCCACAAATCAATGAATGACCAATACAGTACATGTCCTAGAGCATTTCGTGATCAAGCTAGAAAAATTGTAATAGTAACAATCATCGCTAGGTATAAAAACCGAGATTCCGTTTTACCGTATAGAATGAACGATGACAATACTTTAGCCTTGAAGTAGACTGCAATAAAGTCTAAATGAAATTTTGATAATTTACGTATGGCAACATCAGTGATGAATGATATTGAGATGATACGCATAATTTAGTGTATGCCGATATAGCATCTTCGAGATCTAATATGTCTATATGCGTGAGTTACACTTAAACGTACAAAATCAGTAGATTAAATAATACGGTCTTAACACATCAAGATGCACTATATTAACATATAGCATAATATTGATCAAATATCAGCGTACAAATACTCCTGCTGCTGCTAGAGTTATCTTTTGGTACGCAAACGTCATGACATTAGCAATATAACGTTCAATAAATTTAGATTAACTCGATGCAAATGCAAAATATATATTTTGATCGAGTAGCTTTACATGATTATTATGCATAGATTATCCTGTATGGTAGTTTAGCCATCTCTTACATCGTGTCAAGAAGTATAAATTCAAAGCTTTATCAAAGAAAAAACTCTGTCACTATAGATTGTAACGAGAGTTTGACAAATAAATTACTAAAAAAGTCAAATTCGAGCGTGCTTATTTTTTTCTGCAATAGTCTGGTGGCACTTCTGTTCCATTGGAAAGAAACACTGTACGATTTATTGAAAATTTCAGTTCCGGAAAGCGAGGTTCGGCATCAGCAGAGTATCCTAATCCAAAGAAATAGCGTCGACTATCTTATTTGCAGTATTACTGTTAGTACTAACTTACATAAATAGTATGACAACCATTTATACAATAGATGTAGCTGTTTGTGCCTTAACGAAATATATGCACTTGCCAATGTAGGTATTTTATACGTTGTGGATATATAGTCATATTCTTGTTTCGCAAGAGTTCTTTGCAGCCATTTCAACGACACTGGAGGTCTTTAAATTTTCTAGACTCTTTGGAATGCCACTGTAATAGCGATAACGAAGCTGTAATTACTGGTATGTTGTTACTTAAAAGTTTAGCTTGGACATTGATTCGATAAAGTTATTTAGCCATACTAGCTTCCTGATGTCTGAAAAATGTCGATATATTTTGATACAGTAAATAACCCTAAGCTCTTGACAAGTCTGCAATGCTATCAACAGGTAAGATACGAGTACATCCGTTTGCTATGATATCATCGTCATTGGCAATAACTATTTGAATGAAAATTGAATGGATTTCACTGAGTATTAGTCATTTCGTCTTAAAAACCTGATATTAGAACGATATGGTAAGATGATTTAATAATGCGCATTCTTAAATTATAGGCTCGAAGTCAAGGAAAACTCTTAGTGATCGATTACACTACTCTATTCGATTATTTGCATCTGTTACATGCTATTACCAAAGAATTGAAGGTTTTCCATTCCAGAGCCTTGGTATACCTAGCAGCGGCTGTTTCCGATTTCTATCTTCCATTGGAGCGAATGGTACAGAAAATTAAAAATCATTTATCTATTCTTTAGCATATCTATATTATCAACTTTTTGCACTTGTCTAAATGACCATATCCATCACTTTTATATGATCTGTTAAATGTTTATTGAAATTTTGCGTCAGAACAGATGAACAATATTTTCGTTCTCTATCGTTGCAAATTGTCATTATTTTTTACAAATTTCTTAGACTGAGCACAAGATTCAATCTGCTAATGAAAAGCTAACGATACAGCTAGAAGCTGTGCCTAAAATGCTAAAAGTCTTGATTGACGAATGGATTTCAAATGCCTATATTGTATCATTTAAGGTATTACTTCTACAATTGCTTTTAGCTTCAGATTAATATAAAACTACAATTGAGATCGCCACAAAGATATACTGACGAAATCTTTATGACTAAATTGCATAATTATTTATTGTAGCTAGAAACAGATCAAAAGATACTTATTGAGAAAGCGCAGCGATCATTACAAAAGTATTCTCACCAAGTAAGTCCGTGCTTGAGGGTGATCTTAATCCTGAATATTTATTCTGTGCGTATAGACCCACTATAAAATTTTGTGTTTGATACTCGTGAATGTAATGGAATTCTAATGTTTGTGCTCGCATTCAGCATAGAAATTTTATGTGTGCTTACTTATACATTTATCTTATCCATCCTTAACATATAGTCAATTTTTCTATTAGCTAGTCATAGCCAATTTGTTGCAAAGTCGCGAAACTCGAGTAGTGATGGTAACTCTTGCCGGACAAGAAGTTATTGAAATGTCGAATGATGAGATTGAATCTGATAAAGAAATTGAAGAAAAAATTATATCCTATATAGTAATGAAACATCAGCATTACGTTAGTTTATAGCTGCGAAGCTGATATACTTGTGTATGTGTAAAGACATATATATTTAAATGTTTTACCAGTTGCAACTGGGCTATATTTCTTATTAAAAAAATTTAATTTATGATCGTGGTAAAGTTTGAAATACTGAATATAAATTTTTTCAGGCGCATTTAATTCTGCGCTACTATTCGCGGTCGACCACTTACAGTTTGTATAGGAATAAAACTAATGATGACTTAACAATTACTCGGCTTTAAAGGAAGGAACTTACTCTTCTAATATGTCACATTTACTCTTAGTTATTCAGATTGATTACTTTAATCAGTGGTAAGTCTATTTAGAGAAAAATTAATCTATATTATAAGACATCAGAATAAAGGATCTGATGTTTCTATGATTAGACTACATTGGATTGATACGCGATAAAACTATATCTTCCTTATTGATGCTAAATGTATGGTCTTGAAAGCTTTCAAGTATCATCGTAAGATAGCAATTTCGTTTAGACGTATAAATGGTATGCTCTAACTCCGAGGCTACTTGAACTAAGGATTCTAAAACTTTTTTTAAATGAGTAGAAATCTGTTAATTCATGATATCAAATTAGAGGGGCTGGCTAAACTATGTGGAAGAGGTTGGCTTAAAAGTGTAAATATTGTAATGAAGACTAAAAAGAAAATATTTACCTACGTACCTTCATGGTTGCATCCTCCTTCCATCTATATATAGTTTACAGATATATATATATATTATACATCTATATGGCGATTTTATTTCAAAAATGTTATTTACTATATATAGCACAGTATTGTCTTAAAGGATATCGAAAGAATATATGCAATTAAATCGTTCACAGCATAATGATGGTTCATAAGTGGATTGGATAGAGCTGTAACATATCATTACTTTAACAAATTGCTAATAAGGATCGTGTTTATTAAAACTATGACTTATCATAAGTAATATACGACGATATTTTTTCCGTTTTAGTGTGCTATAGGTCTTCAGATCATCGATGATTTAATATATATAATTACTGTATAAATGAGTCATCTTATTAATATACTATACCTAAGGATTTCTTCATCACCTTGTTTCTGGTAAGGGAAACTATGGTATACCGTTTACTTCAGCTGCTTGCATGGTCATCGTGTACGCGTACAGTATCCCAAGATCGATGATATTGAACAATTCGTTATAGTAATAACTGTAAACGAATTTTATTAAAAGCTATGCTTGAGAATAACTTTGTAGTTCAGTAGTATTTCTATAAAATACTACAGTGATTAACTTAGATCTTATCAATTGGCTCCTTAATTCTATTTACGCGGTCATACTAGTAGATTATCTAAAGGGCATGCTCTACGTCGCATATTAACATTTCAGAATTCTCTTCATTAATTAAAAGGGCCTTAACTAAATTTTATATTGATGATCTCATCTTTTTATTTTTTGCATAAGTTCTGCAATTATTTGACCTCCGTTCATGCGCCAACTTCTAGGAAATAGTTACAATAAACCATTTTTATGGATATTATGAAACCATTAATTACGGTATCTTGCACTTTCGCAGTAATAGCAGTACTTTACTATGCAGCGTTAACGAGTCCAAGTTAGCAGTGATCTCATTTTTACGTAGTTAGAACTATAAGAACCATGTCTTGATATAATTCTACCGTTAAAAATGGATAATAATATCTTTGTTGATAATATACTAGGTACCTTCAGGACTTGTACATATGATAATATTCATATATATCTTTTAGGTAGTACAATAACAGATTGTTTGTAGCAATATATTTAACAAAACAATCTTAGCAGAAATATCTTGGTATTGAGATTGTTATGCGTCGTTGTTTTGTTCTGAAGAATATACTTTTAAAATATATTGCTTTTTAAACAATAATCTTGTTGATGTAAACAGATGATAATACTGTAATCGATCCATATTATACTAATAAATATATTATGCTTATTTATAGTCGCGGTCTACTCGGTATGCAAATAATACGAGAAAAACATATTATCATCATTCACCTCAATACATATGTTACCACATATGGTACTATGAAAGGATAATAAAGAAGAGGTATAAAATATAGAGTACTCTAATGAACAATAAATTTTTGATAGTAAGAGATTAGTGAAGCAGTAAACAGCTGGCTTTTACCAATTTAGCAATAGTAATACAATGTATATTCTCAATCAACTCGAAGACGATGAAAAACGTAAAGAAGTGCTGAAGATGACTTTGCATAAATGATGTATTAGGAGTAATTAATTTTGTAAGATGTAACGTGCATCTTGCTTTATATAAGCTATAACTTCATTGATTTTTAAATCTTTATCGATCTATTTTGACGGTTAGCGATTTAGACAATATGTAGATTAGCTATTCAACCTATCTAAAGGGACCCTTGTTTTTATGCATGTTAGAAATTAATTTAAGAATAGTAAGTGCGTGTTATACATCGTCATAGATATCATTTTCTTAATAATTATATAAAGAATACTAAACTGATTAAAGATGCTTATGTTTCTTGAATAATTCAGAAATTCTGATTTGATCCTAAATTGAACTGGCATTAGTTAAAGCAATCCTTCAAGTTATATTATAGTATCATGCGTGATATTAATCATATTAAATTGCGATTAATATCATGTATAGCACACATGCATATTGATTATACTGCAACTTTCAATGATGGCTATTTTATAACAAGTGGTAACGATGTCTTATATCGAGAATTAACGGTATAGTATTTTAAAAGAATCGCCATTGGTTCTACTTTTTGTATAATTTCAATAGTATAAAACTTCATGGCAGTTAAAGGTACAACTCGTATTAGATATTCCAGTAGTCAGCTCGAACGGAAGCGATTGTAACAATAAATGAATTTTTAATACTACAATTGTTTTTGACCACGTTGAATTGAAAATACGTTACAAAATATTAACATGTTTCTAATCTATACGTCACAACTGGTAAATTTTCTGCAAATGATTAGGTTCCTATCAATCGTGCTCTTCTCTGGTACTGAGTAGCATATTAGTCACCGTTCTTTTAATTGCAGTAGTTTTGGAATCGGAATTTTAACTATCGATAGTAATACAATTGGCAGTTTTAGAATTTGAACTCCTGATTTAGCTTTATCCGTCTTCTAGCCTTATTCTCGTAAGTTATATCGATCAAAGTAATAACAAATCAAGAGCTAATGTTATTTATTTATTAATTAGAATCCGTATTGCATAAATACTGTCCAGCATTACTGATTTTTCCACGTCTGTTAATAAATAATATGAATGAGAATATTAAAATTTAATTCCATCAATACGGAAGCAAAGTAGAGTGTAGAAATATTTTTATTTTCCGGATGAAACGAAGATTAAATTTTATTTTAGTCTATGAAAAATAACTTAGCCAGTTAGCTCCTTTAATTATCAACGAAATGCTACAGATTCTTATAACTTTTATCATAAATAACATTATTAGCACAGCTGTAAATGTAATAGGAGTCACTTGGCTTTTACGAAAGCTCTTGCTTTATATCAATATTGGATATATTTAGCTATCAGAATTATTTTATCACACAGTACTAAATAATATAAGCCATTAAGCTATATAATTTCTATTGATTGCAATCAATATTCATACACACCCTCCTTCTCTGTATACTCGTACTTGTGAGGATTGCAACCCACTTTAAATAGCAACTGCAGAAGGAAAAAGTTACTTCAGGATTGACATAATATGTAATATATAAACTCAATTGAATATGAATAAGGATGATGAAGGATGTCCATCCTATCTTTCATTTACTTTCTATTTGATTTACAGCTCGTATTTAGCATTCTACAGCAGTGGTTGAAAACATCCGCTTGCATTGATTAGCAAAGAAATATTAACCAAACAATATTTTCAAAGCATAGCATTCACGAAATATCATAAGATTATAAGCAGAAGCACGAGAAATGATATTGTAATTAGTGATAACTTTCATTTGCATATCGTAGCAGTGAACTATTTCCATTCTTTTTATCTTATCATGGAGGCTATATAATAAATCTATTTCTCATCCTCATTTGTTTGAGTAATCAAAGTATTCATTTTTTAAGAGTCTTGAATATATTTGCTACTCTATAATACGAGCGTATATATCATATCAAAGATATGATGTTACGACAGCAGAGATATACGAATAGCTATGTTTGTAAGCTACTCTTAAGTTAGAAAGCCCATTTTAGAAAGCGTAATTCTATGAGAAGAGAAATCTTAATGAATAAACTATTTTAGGATGATTTATATCGACAGCTAGCTCCTTGTTTTGATTACTTTACCATAGTATTTATGTATGTACAGTACGATAAAGATAATATGATTGCCAATCACAGAATTTTTAATTACATGAGATGCCTAAGATTTGTCAGCTATGGGAATAAAATTAGTTTTTCTAGATCAGTGGATAAGCTAAATCGACTTAGTGCCGAGAGATTCTATTTATCTTGAACTTTTTATTAATATTTAGAATAAATATATATTGCCTATTTACAGTTATGAAATTATAATTGTTTGAAATATCCAAGATTTGCAATCTGTTTGAATGGAATCATCCTTTTTTGGTCAGTAGATAGAATTAATTGATACTGTATCGAAAGCTGAAATTTGTTTTGATCTTTATTCCTTGGTACGTTTAGTAAATAATGTACTGTCTGATCGTAATTGTAGAATTTTTAATTGCACGAGATACAGATCCAAGATTTGTCATTCATTTACAAATTAACCTTTTCTTGGTCAATTTATTGGAGAAATCGATTTTATGCTATTTTTGAAATATTGCAATTGCCCATAAGCGTTTCTCAATTTTATAATATTCAATTTATCAAACATTCAATTTATATACGTATATTTGAGGAGAGAAATGAGGTTTTAATCTCACCTGTGAATAATTTTACAAGGATAATATGCTTGTCATTAGCTGACACAGTTATATTTTTCAACCGTTTAAAAGAGGAACATTTAA